CACACACACACACACACACACACACACACACACACACACACACACAGGTGAGTGAGCAAGAACACACAACAGGTGAGTGCATAAACATTAGAAGTCAGAAAACTCAGTTGAAATAAGAATCGAGTTAGTGCAACAGTGCGAGGGAAACACTTGTAAAAAACAAAAAAAGACAATCAAACACAGATTCTAATTTTTTTTTTTTCTATCACCAAAAGGGTCGATAACACTGTGGCCTCTTTGCTGTCTGACGCAAAATCTTAGAGGGTTAAAATCCAGCTCTTACCTGTCCGACAAGCTTCTTTATAACCACAGTGCACCAACTAAGTTCATATCAACAGACAGAAGGAGGCTAACATGAACGAAGCCTAAATGTAGCCAAACTGCTAGCTTGTTTTGCCACGCATCTTCAAATTCTGCTGGTTCTCATAAACTTAGCCCGCGCACTCATCCTGACTCTTTTTGGAAGTCATGCCTCAAGGCAGGAGCACGGCATGTTCCTTTTTATGCCGGAACACATGTGCTTCTTGGGGGTGGGGGTTACAAAAAGCAAAAACAAACAAGATGTTGTTGTTTTGAAAGATGACATATTTTGCTGTGTACGCAGGAATACCTGTGTGTAAAAGCAAGCTTTCCAAACAGGACGCCCCCCCTTTTTTTTCTTAGCTAAACAACTATGAAGTTGCAAACAACCCATAATATAACTCTGAGAACCAATTGTGCACCTCTGTGCTGAATAAGACACTAGACCGGTAAGCAGTGTAAACCGCGCCCTCATCCTCACCCTCGTTCAGCTTGGCCACGTCCATGCTGCCGTTGTTCATCTGCAAAGTTGCTTGCAGCGCCGGGAGGAGCTGGTGCAGGAGTGCCGGGTCCTGGAGCAGCGCCGGCGAGGGCAACTGGGCAGACGGAGGCGCCTGAACGCTAGAGGACGAAGAAGAGGACGACATGCTGGAAGGGGTGGAACCTATACCGGCGGCAGCAGGGGTCAGGCTCTGAGAGGAAGAGGAAGAATGGCCGCAATTGGCTGCTGTGGACTGATCCACTGATGCGATTTCTGTGGAGACGAGCAGAGTGATGAACACAGAATGAATTCACGCTATATTCTGAAGCATAACTATATACACATGAACAAGATTTTATTGGCAAGTCGTACTTGTTGTGGCTTTGTCCTGCAAGGCCTCTTGTCTGTAGTCCATGTCCCTGGGAAAACTGTTTGCTGCCATCTTGACTGAGTCTTTCTGCCGTTGTTCCCTGAAGCAAAGCAAACAGGTTTTGTAAAGCAACAGCGATGATGTTAAGGACGTGGGCTGCGGTATGAGTCTGTGCCTTAAGCTAATGATATTCTGATAGCATTGTGGTGCTAAAGCCATCATGTGTGACTCTGCATGAGAACAACAACCTCAGTCACTGTCTCAGGTTAAAAAGCCAACAGACTTGAATAAAGTGAGCCTTGCCTCTCCAGCAGGTCCTTGGGCTTTTCCCACTGGGAGACCTCAGTTCTACAGTTGTAGTAGTACTTCTTCCCAGAGGAGCTAATGTGCTCTGTCCAGTCATCTGCTGGGTCCTAGTCACAAGGAAAATGGAGAGTCAAACAGTTAAAAAAAACAAAAAAACAAAAACAACTTCACCCCAAGTTCATTTTGTTTCCCAATAACATTGCCAAAGTAATGCAATTATTGTATGCATGATCATTTTTCATAGATTTTTTTTATTATTATTGTTGTGACCCTTCACTTCAAAGTCAAAATATCTGATGTTTAGTCAATCTGACAAAGAAGTCACGCCAAGTTAGCTACATGGTCCTCCCACCACGATGATCCGAAGAGCAGGTCAATTTAACCTTAGTTGGGAAAAGAAAATCCTGACAGTTCGTTTTTGGCCAGTTTCAACTTATTGTGTACTTTTTGATTGCATCTAATCCCCCTCACTTTATTCTCTTGGTAAAGCATACAACCTGCTGATCAAGCACTGGCAGACATACACTTCGCTGTTAGATCTAGGTACATCCCAACTACAAACCTTTCTGAAGCCCTACACACTGCCCTTTATACCTGTGCAACCTGCACAGGTATAAATATTGGCACCGTAGGCTTTTTGTCGATCCATTGCAGAAGCATGCATTCATTTTAAGTACCGACTGTTCATACAGGTTTAGGATGTTCCCTTGTTTTCATGAGCCATAATCTTCAAAGACTATTTCACTGATACTAAAAAAACCTAGAACTGTAAAACTGAAAGCACAGTATCTGTTTCTGACTGTGTTTTTTTAATCCATCCATGCTATGTGATTTATGCAAATCTCCCCCAGATAAATTCTTCCGCTCTGTATAAAAGTACTTCCTTATTTTCCATACGCTCCCTCCTCAAACCAGTCCAGTCTGTCTGGTGAACAGGAAAAGGTTGCAAAGCATTCTGGTAGTTGCTGGTCTGTAGTTCTCTTTTCAGTGTTATTACACAACCCACTTCCCAGCAGTGACATTCCTCTTGAAGCCGTGAGCCATCACACCTTCTTTTGCTCCACTAAGCACTTTTCCAGTCTCAAAGTGCTCAAGTCAAAGTTTCTTCAAGCAACAGTGTCGGTTTTCCAGCACTCACATTTTTTTTTCCTGAGGAGCACGCATTCAAGTTTCAAACAACTTGAGAGGATATGAAAGTGCTCTTTAAACTGATGTAACGCAAGGCAATCGATCACTTTGTGTAAATGGGTTACGAAGCTTCAAAAGCAAAGATCAACAAGTGGAAGAATTCATTTAAATTGTTTATTCCAGTGCTTGGAGGTAGCAGTCCTACTTCATTGTACATACTGGCAAGAGCTTACCTGAGTCAGCACATTTGGTAAACATAAATCCATTTTGCTTTGGGAGGTAAACATCTTTCATTTCCGAGCCTCGATAATGGACCGGGGCTTTTGAGTGTGGATGCGAGCTGGTATATTTAATATTAATGATGATGCATATACTGACGACTCTGTTAGGATCTAACATTTCTCATCCACATCTGTACTAACTTTAAAACTGTGCTTTTGTAGGTGAGGCTTGAGCCCTTAAAACATATGATCTCATGCCTTCTCTGTGGAAAGAGTAATTAGATACCACATACTACTAGTAAAACCAACAGTATCTTAGTAACAATTCATTTAAAAAAAAATTATATAATTTGATTTTTAGTACTGCAGTTCCCACAGTTATTGATATAACAGAATTAAGATAGACTCTAATGTAATTTGAATATTACACACTTAAAGTGAGCCATGTGTGCTCTGACAAGAGTCTGTAGGAAAGCTTACAAATGCACGGAGCAGTGGGTGCTTGCAGGAGCGGTTCAAATTAGTGTCAAACCAGACAATGTTGAATATTGTGTATTTGGTCCCACTGTGCAGTCCAACCAGTGAGAAATAACAATGTGTCTCTCATTCACACTGACAAATGGCAAATCGTTTAAACAAGGAAGTCCACATTCTAATCAGACCATCTACTACACAAGGAGCCTCTTACATAATTATGAAGTTACAGTCAAGCATTGTTGAGTTAGGTTTGATAAATGTCTGCATGAGAGAGGAAGATGGCTATCCATCACGCCCTGCATAAAATGTTCCATAGTGGCGTGGCTGCACTCTAAAGGAATCGCTGAAGGTTTTATAATCAGATAACACTGGGTAGATCCTTACCCTGTCTGCGGGCTTGCTCTGAGCCGCATGCAAGTCGGTGCCATGGTGAGAACTGTTGTTGTGGGAGTTCTCCTGAGGAGAGCCACTGGTCCCTGCAACAAAGCCACTTGTCAAAGGAGAGAAAGCAAACGAGGCTCTGCTAAGAACTAAATCCTCAGAGAGAGTCACAACTGCACAACAGGGAAAAGAAATCAGCTTGCCTTTTGTTATTTTAGGCTTATACTTGCAGTTTACATTTACGTCTTAATCTGATGGCAGTATTATGGGAAGCTTTTTTTCCCACAACATGACAACTGGCAGGGGTGACCAGAGTCTTCATGACAATAACACATGACAGAAGAAGTTCACATATTATGTCAGGGACCAGCATAGAAACAAAGACAGGGTTGACCTTTATGCCTATCTGAGCCCATCTGTGGTTACCGTTTCCCCTTCATAACAACCGCCTGAGATTAATCTTGCACCAGACTCACCGTTTTTCCCTCTGACGCTGTGAGAGGGTTTCGCCTTGCCATGTCCCGTGCCTTCCCCGTGTCTGCTGACAGGACTTTCGTCTGAGCGTCGCTGCATCTTGTAAGGGGGCACAGGATCTGACGACCCATCGCGCACCTTGTCGTAGCGGTGAAGGCTTGTGGCCTGGCTCTTTGGCTGAGATTTATGGGTCTAAAAAGGACAGTGCACAGCAGAATTGTTGAGATATGCTCAATCTCACACAGTGGTGTTCTTACCTCTCAATCAGGAGACCCTTTAAGTTGAATGAGAGCATTTTTATTTTTATTGTCATTCTATTGACATTTCTAGTAAATTCTTGTTTTGCTAGAGTAACTGAAACACAAGGGCTGAAGTAAGACACATATGAATTACCATTGTGATCAAACTGAAATGTATCCAGACAGTTGCTGATCACCTGCACACTGTGCTGACCTACGTTTATGGATCGTCATGACAGGTGACAGCTAACAACCTGAACATGACATACCTGATACGATTGGGGATCCCTTCTGTCGTTGCACCTGTAGAGACACACAGAACAAAGGTTAGAGCAAGATCTCAATGACGTTTTTTTATTTTCTATTTGTCGCTTTGAAAACTGACTTTCTGGAGCATATACAGTTAGCTAAGTAGCTAGCGTTAGCCAAGTTAGCCTGACTTGCCATCTTATCATGATGTGTTAGCTCATACTGTAGTTCACATTGAATCGGTAATGTTTAAAGTATATCTTACAAATACCTAGAATAGGCAGGATTTACGATGTGAATACTATTAGGTGTAACGGTAGTCGACCAGCTAAGGTACATATCCGGAATCAACGGCTAACTAATTGCAGGCTAACCATGCTAGCTAACGGCTACAAGTAAACCTTAAACGCACAAATTAAATCAACGGCGTAAGAAAAACATGTTTCAAACGCTACGGTCTGAGTCTGATTTACCCATCGCTGACTCTTGTTGGTTTCCTTGCATACATCACCATCAAGACCGTGGTGATGTGTGTATGTGTGTGAGGGGGAACCGTGGCCTCCTGACTGCCTGGCTGCTCTCACAGCTCTTTTCTTCAGCTTCCTGATGTCTGCACTCAGTCTGTCCTGCCAAACAGAGAGCTAAAAGTCACGCACCGAATACCAGCACTGCATAGCGGCTGGTCTTTACTGAAAAAGAAAAACAAAAAAGAAACACCCTCAGTGCACCATCTGCCATGCAGTTACGGTATACGCTAAACTCGGCCGATGTAGTTCAGCGGAAGGCAGCAGATGGAGGAGGAAACGGTGAAGGCAGTAATGTTTGGCTAGGAGGATGAAGTTCCTGTTTGTCTTTTCAAATTAAAATAAAATTTTAGTTATGCGTTTAGAAGATTATTATTATTATTATTATTATTATTAACGAAAAGCAAGACATGTATTATGTGAAACAGAATATCGCAAAAGAACTTCCACTCTTCCGTTTTAAAATTATAAAATATATGCTTAAGTCAAAACCACAAGTAACTGGGTTATCATTTTTAAATAAGTAATTATACTTTTTATGCGATGCTGGCAAAATGGCACAGAATAACAAAAATAACCGCACGTGGTTCTCTAACAAAAAGTGTTTGATTTTCACACCTCACCGTGGCATTTCCGCGTTGATGGGCTATTATTTTGAAGGAAGTCTCATCATATCCCGTATGAGCTCAGCTGTGTCTGGATAACGTGACGCAGTCTGTCAGTGCTGCTGTTGGCTGCTCAAAGTTCACCTCACGTCTCGGTAGTTTTAAGTTGTCAACTGGGACTCTGCTTCAGCCTGCACGCTTTGTCGCTTTTGTGGTGTTGTCATATAGCTCCCGCACGAACACTTTGCCCAGCGTGAACTGGCCACAGCAGGCTAATATGTCCATTTTCTTACCACCCCTGGGTTTTGGCCTAATTGATACGTGGTTTATGTAGAATAGGGTAGTTGACTAAAAATGCAACGAGTCCAGGGCATTTATAGTCAACTACTCAGATGTCTGGAGTCTACTGAGACAAGCACTGTACAGGATTCCTGATGGACAGTCTGAACTTTGTGACCAGCGATATCTAATGCAGCTGTAGCTATACAGTGTATTCCATTATAGTAACAGAGACCCCAACATCACCATTTTCAAAGTCAGAACATCCATATGTTTCATCATGTAAGACGTTATCTAGTACTAATATTGTGCATGACTGAGTGTCTGCAGTCATATGTGGGTAGCTGAACTGAAATAGGTCAACATTAAACTCCATGCTGTGTAACCTCCATGATGTGATTGGCGTATCGATTGCCTGCTGGCTTTATTTGTGTCAAACCGAACACATATTGATGGAATAAGAGACGATCTTTCTTACATTGCGGTCAGTGGAACAGTGCATAACCTTTCAATACAAGTGGATGTTCAAACACAGCCTGTACTCTTTACATATTTTAAATGATATGGCTTGCATGACCTGGCCCTTATGGGATGGACAGTCTCTGGTGAGTGCATCCTTCTGTTGTTTTGCTTAGCAGTAACTTTTTTTCTACGTAAACACTATTGGAATTTAAAAAAACAAAATAAGACAGAAACATCCTTTATAATCTTTGTAACATGGCCTTGGAATATTAAAAGAATTAAAACTAAGTCCTAGATAATCAATGTTGAGATATTCTATTCAAGGTGTTTCATTTTTGAACTGATTTTAGTGACAGAGCATTAAAAAATTTCTCATGGTTTTTACTATTTGTTGTTAATGCGTATGAACATTCAAAATATTCATTATTATATTATTTCACATGTTTAAATCAGTTTTACAGTATTGTGTAGCTTCAAACTCTTTGTACCTGACACATGCATGCATGAGTAACAACAGAGTAACTCATACATAAATTAGTCTGTTGTGAGAGTGCAGGCCTTACTGTTTTTGGTTTTCACATACATTTCCAGCCCAAGAACAGATTTTTAGATATAAATCTAAAACTGAACCCGTGCAAAGGTCCTGCAGACATTATCCTCTACCCAAACTGTTGTACAAGCAAAGAAAGCAACATGCATTTTTATATATTTATTTTGAGATCTAAACTGAAATGTAATAACTGAGCTTTGTTTTGATCTTTTCCTGAAATTATTGCAAGAAATATTGATTATTTAAACACACCAAACTGAAATATATATATAAATAATATATATAAATAATGGACATGGCTTTGTTGATACTTGATAAGAACTGTTACAATAAAAATCAGCAATAGGGGGCACTAATATCTCAGTATGTTGTTCGGGGCCATCTAAAGACAAATACACTCTTTCCTTTTTCCTTTTCACATGTGGTACATTCCCTCTTTACACAAGAAAAAAGAGAGAGTTTAAGTCTGCTGAGATGGTTTCTTTGTCCTTTTTTTCTTCTATTCTTAGGAGGGATGCTAAACCAAACTGAGCATAGAGGTATGTAGAATATAGAATATGAACCAGAGTATGGTTTCATTATATCCTTTTCCTTATATCCTGATGAGCACAGTGACACTGAATCTTCCATATAGGAGGCTTTTAATCACACCTTTCGTTTAACCTCTGACCTCTCTCATCTGTCTTCTGACCTCACCTTCTGACCCTCAAAAACACAACCTAGAAGATAAGAGCAGGTGCAGGTTTGTTCATTTGTACGTGTGCTTATGCATGTCCTGCCACTTACCCGGTAGGCATGTGCATGCTGCTATCGTCAATGATGTCTGGAACTGAGCCACATACCGACAGAGAGGAGGACTACAGGTTTCTCCACAGCATGCTGATGGAGAAGAAGCTTCACTTGCTCTTCAAGGTGAACGCACGTTTGTGCTGTAATGAGCTGTGATCACTCAATCTGTCCATCCAAGTCACAGAATTCACTTTATTTAAAGTGAATTTGGTATTCAGATCCTATTGTTAGCAGTATTATGTGTTTATGTTTTATTATGTACAAGTAATGCCACTGGATTAGAGTGCTGTTAATATTATGTACACTGGAAAGTGCCACAATATGTACTTCAGGTACATATTATGCACTATTAAGATACTTATGATTATAACTTATACTTAAGTAAAAGGATTAAATACTTATTTTCCAGTCTGCAGATGACAAGAATTATGCACGCACGCACACACGCACACACACACACAAATTCGATGCTGAGTTTAACTAATTTAATTACATGTAAACTTTCCATGAAATGTTGTTACATAAATAAAATCTGGTCGGGGGCTGTTCTGGAAGTGATTCAGGGCAACAGGAGTCTCATGGTGGCCTTAGCTCAGCAGTTGCTCTTAATCATTTTTTCCCTTAAAGGCGTCAGCATTTACAGGATTTAACTGTAAAAAGAACGGTGTCCTGTATTTTTTTTACAGCAAGTGCAACAGTGTACTATATTTTCCACCAGTCTCAAAAACAATAAAACCATATCACAGATTCACTACAGCTGTGTGCTGTATTAAAGGTTTATATTTACAGTACTTTGGGATTTTTAAAATTTCTTTAAATCTATATTAGTAGCCAGTTGTTTTCACAGCAGTAGTATTAGTAGTTATTGATAAGTAACTAGTAATAGTTAAAGTTCCCCTTTACTGCAGAGAAAAGCTCTTGCATGATCCTCTCCTTACTTGCCAGATTCACGAGCAACTGAAGCGTTTTGAGAAGCGAAGCCCCGTCCCTGTCCAGGAGCACGCGGCGAATCTGGCCTCAAGTGTAAGTGACCGTCTCCAAACATCTTTTGCAGATAGACACACTGCCGAGGATGACAGCTTGACAGAAGAGGGAACAGTTCTGGGGGAGGTTATCTCACCAATGGTCTTCTCTCACTTTCCTGTCACAAAGAGGATTTCTTCTTATGTGTGCTCAATTATGAAATGTTGTCTCAAGCGCTGTCACCTTAGATATCATTGTTTGAAAAGGCTGTTTTAAAGGAGTTTTTTTTTTCTTAACTCATGAGCCAAGAGTTAGATCATTGAAGACTGAGCACCAAGCGGGAGCCGCGGAAATGATTCCATCTAATGTTTCAGGAAAACAATTAATTTCAGATTTAGGCTGACGTGACAGACAGATGTGCGTCATCCTCACTCCTGTTACCATCCCGTCTTTCTTTCATTTTCATCCATCCCCATGACTAATTTGTATATTTCGATTAACCCCCACCTTTATTTCTGATTTCACCACCTTTGTCCTGGACAATGTCCAAATTGAATTTTTTTTAACCCTTTTCCCTTCCATATATTCTTCTCTCCACCTCTAAACATTCCCTCCCTTCCATTATCTTTACCTCTCCACCCCTTTTCTTGTTCTCTTTTCCTTCCATTTCTTCTTTTATTCATATCCATATACTGTAATATCTGCCATGTTTCCATTCTGTCTCTCTGCTACTCTCCCCCACTTCAGCTCCATCCCTTCAGTCCCCTTGCTTCAGATTCAGTACGACAGCCACTCTCTGCCTGGCTTAAATCATCAGGACCTACTGCAAGGGCCAAACCGAGGTTCTGTTTCCCCTCAGAGAGGCTTCTGTTTGCTCACAGTGGAAACTAATGACCTTCATGCATTGTGTCTCTGGAGTGTGCCTCGACATCTTGAAGCAGTAGAAGTCATTACAGTAATATGCCTGACAAGACGGGCGACTGCACACAGTCACTCGCCGCCTCTCCACTTGCTGCCGACGGTCAAGGCTGCTCTGTTTTAGCTGTCACCACAGCTGTCGTGTAGCCTTGAACATTCAGAAGTGTTCTCTTTTTTTTCCGACAGTGACTCGAGACGCAAAGCTAAAACAGGAAACAGACAAATGGCTCACACCAGGATGAGAAAACTCCCCGTGAGGCAAACAGGGTTTTAGGAAAGTGTCTGAAATAACGACAGCACTGACGTTGTGTCCGGCAGATATAAATTTCATGAACCTTTTATGCGTTTTTGCTTGTTTCCCTACCTGAAAACGTCACAAAAGCCTTAACATAAACATCCATAATTATAAACATCCGACCTCTCCCTTCTTCCCTGTTCCAGTTGGCAGAGGAGCTCATATACCAGGGTTGGAGAGAGGAAGTCAAAGAGCTGCTTGCCCTCATTTCCAAACCCCACTTTCAGGTAAAAATATTTCCTTCCACAGTGACATGTTACTGTAACTTCACATGTGTCAAGCTAAAGCTTCCCCTCTCCCTGGGCCAGTTATATATCATTTTTGGCAAAGGGAATATATATATATATGGATACAAGATGCAGATATTAGCTGCAAATCATGTAAAACAGGCACAGAGAGATGCTAAATGGCTTGTTCTCTTGAATTTGAACTGACTTAAAGTTAAAGAGT